GTGCAATCGGCGCATTTCCAGCGCAATCGGCGCATTCGGCGCAGGCAGCGCATGGCCATGCTGTGGTCCCTCTGCCCGCGTGCACTGTACATGTTTACACATTCGTATACATATGCACATATGCATAAATATATACGTATATATATATATATATATATTACATATATAGATAGATGTTTGACTTCAGTGACATGTTGGCATTGTACGACAGCAGGTCAACTTCAAGACCTGGGAGGCCTGGTGGGGGATGCCAGCGTGGCCGCACGATCATACTTCTGGTTTCATCAGCTCAGGACTACTGGTTCCGACACCGAGTCCACCCGAAAGAAGAGCTGGGAACTAGGCAGAAAAACGGCGGATCGTAGAGTGCCTTCGGGGCTGGCTCCAAGAATCTGCAGGCAGGCAACAAATTGCAGATGACCAGTTCACAAGCATCACAGCCTTCCCGACTTGAAGCCTTTACTCTGGCCGTTGTATCATTGTTTTCGTATCGCCAGGAGTCCGGTAATCTATGCTTCTGCAAGATTCCTCGGGGTCGGGCTGCCTGCTTCGGGCCTGGGTTAGTGTAAATGCTCAACCAGCTTGTTTTCGAGTTGGTTCTATCTGCCGTCCTCGCACCGAGGGACGCATCACCGACAGTGTCCGACTGCCAATGCTTGATAAAATCTCGCACAGCCGACATGTCTCCATCTGTACTGCATCTAAAGCCAGCAGTGACAGGAAGACCAGTCGATGTTTCGCTTCTGCCCCGACCACAAGCAAGCGGAAAAGAAACTGTTGCGACAGCTCGCTTTGGTCCGCAGGTGAATTGCGTCAGAAAGTGTGGTAGTACCCGCGAACAGCTTGCACTGCTATTGGCGGGAAGACAGCCTGCTTGCAAAGGGTTGCACAGTTCCTGCCAAGTTGTGATTCGTCTAGTTGACAGCACCAGTGTTCTAGGGACGTCGAACACATGCCCGCGGATGAAACGAGCAAAGCTCTTCGTGGCGCGAAATGGGACGAACGTGGCAGGACAAGCGGTTTCTGTATGTCATCATGGAGCGCATCAAGGGGGGCGAGCTGTTTGAGGTGACTTCTTGGAAGTTGAGCCTGTTCGGTTCATCGCGCTTGCGCGGGCATTTCCTGAGGCTTTGAAGTCCGAGCTGGCGGTCATCACTGAACAGGACAGCAATGTGCGTGATTTTGGCTGCGTGCCGGCATCTTGTGGTCTCACCTTATCAGCCCCAGCGCATCTGAGAGGATATGTCGAGAGTGAGCTTGCAGCTCCTGAAGGCACTGAAGCGGCGGTAGCCACGTTTGGCCAAGAGTGGCTCAGCTCAAAGACAGGCGCTCGAGTATCTCCACAGCTGCCGTGTTGTTCACAGAGACATCAAGGCAACGGCACCGATGCTGGGTTTCGAAAAGAGTGAGAAGATTGACAGGGCTTCGATCAGTATGTCACCACATGGAGTTGGAGGGAGATTTTGGGCTGAAGTCGTGATTCCAGGCCAGATCAGTCAATGGTACATGTTGGATGCCACGTGTATGAACGAGTGACCCGGCCAAGCCGTAGGGTGGCTCTGGTTGCTCAGCCTCTGTATGCTTGCAAGGCCCAGAACATCCTTTTGACTGAGCCGCCGTTGCTTCCTGGCAGAGCAACTCGTCAAGCTATGATGCTTTAATCTAGTGCTCCATGGGTTCACAGCTCACAGAGTTGTCAACTACAGGACTGCCACGTGACAGGTAAGCATCTAGGGTTCGGTTGGGTCGGCGTGCATCGGCGCGCATTTTGGTTTATGAGCTGGCACATATTCTCTCAGGCGCTATGCAAAGCTGTCAGCGCCTTACCTCTGCTGTGTTCGAGGTCCAACGACTCCAAGGTCTTGGACAGGTATTATCGGTGCTCTTCTGTCGGGGTTCTGGTTTGGTACTTGTAAGATACCCTTTTGGTTTGGCAAAAGGGACAGTACACGATGCTAAATCCAAGTCCGAGGTTTGATGATGAGCTACTGTTACACCTCGCACCCTCAAAGCCACCAACTACTAAGCGCAGAAACCCTCGACCCCCAAGCCCCAAACCCTAAAACCCTAAAGCCCTAAACCCTGAACCCCCCAAGCCCTGAAACCCCAACACCCCCAAAGGCCCCAAAAGCTCCAAGGGCCTAAAACTTAAACCCTGAACCCTAAAACTTACACCCTAAACCCTAAAACTTAAACCCTAAACCCTAAAAACTTAAACCCTAAACCCTACAACTTCAACCCTAAACCCTAAACCCTAAGACCCTAAACCGTGATCTCTGTCGGAGCCTCGTCGGAGCCTCTAGCCGCGCCCAGGACATCAAAGTGATCGACTTCGGCCTTTCGGCTCGCCTGCCGCAGGAGATTTGGGGGTTTGGGGTTTAGGGGTTTTGGGGTTTAGGATATTGGGGTTTAGGGTTTTAGGCTTTAGGGTTTAGGGTATTAGGGATTTAGGGCTTTGGGGTTTAGGGTTTAGGGTATTAGGGTTTGGGGTTTAGGGTTTAGGATATTGGGGTTTAGGGTTTAGGATATTGGGGTTTAGGGTATTAGGGTATTAGGATCTAGGATATTAGGGCTTGGGGTTATAGGGTATTAGGGTTTGGGGTTTAGGGTTTGGGGTTTAGGGTTTAGGATATTGGGGTTTAGGGTTTAGGATATTGGGGTTTAATGTTTGGGGTTTAGGGTTTAGGATATTGGGGTTTAGGGTTTAGGATATTGGGGTTTAGGGTTTAGGATATTGGGGTTTAGGGTTTAGGATATTGGGGTTTAGGACTTAGGACTTAGGATTTAGGTTTTAGGGTTTAGGGTATTAGGGTATTAGGGTTTAGGGTTTAGGGGTTTAGGGTTTAGGGTATAGGGCCTCAGCCCGAAAGAGAAGATGCTCAGCGAGACTTTGTGCCCATCTCAGGGCGTACTCCTTTTAGGCTTTGGGGCTTAGGGTTTAGGGTTCTAAGGCCTTCTTGGGGCTTGGGGTCGGCGTTTTTCTCCTCATGGTTTTTAGGGGTTCTAATGAGGGTTTAGGGCTTAGGGGTTTAGGTTTCGGGTTTTACGGCATCTTCTTGCTTGTTGGAGCTTCGAGCTTCTGGCATCGGGGTAGTCACAGGGGTCCTCGAACCAGTAGGCCAGCAGCCCAAGTGGCGAGACGGACATAAGGGCTCATGCTCCAGGGGGCCACCGTTTCCCTTAATCCTAAATGGGAGTTTCAGAAAATTGGGGTAGCTTATTTTGGGGTCCTTATAATAGGGATCCTATTATTTAGGGTGCTATATTAGGGTCCCCTATTTTCGGAAACCCCTAAATGAAGCAGCTCGCTGCAACCGAATCTGATCAAGCAGGAGTGCTGCTGGCGACAGAATGACCGCTCTTTTGACATCGTTTGCGGGCCCATGTCTCAGAAGCGTGAGTGGCTCCTTTCGAGATTCTTGCAGCAAAACAAAACAGGAAGCATGCCTTAGCTCTATAGGACCCATAGTAGTTCCTTTTTGGGGTTACCTTATAGGATTCTATATATGAACCCCCCAAAAAGGAACTACTTTAGGGCCTATGGGTATATACCTTAAGCCCCAGGACCGAACACTTCTTGAGTCTCTTGGCCGGCAGTTTCCGCTCAGGACGCCGGCCTGCTGCGCTCCTGAAATCTGGGCGACGCAGGAGACTTGAATTTGTTTCTATCGTATCACTGTGCGTTCTGCGTGCTATAAGTTTCGCATAATTTTTAAGATACAGTGTGCCGCAACACGTATGATTCCAGAAGTTGTGCTAGGATTAGGGTCTTGGGATTGGGGAAATGAGCCAAATTTTAGGGTAAGACCGTCTTAGGTTGAGGGACGTTGAGGGTCTAGGGGTTCTTCCGTTTCCATACATAGCTTTTTCAATCCGCTATCCGCGCCGTGGGTGGTCTGTTGTTAGGTGTCCGGTGTCCTTCCCCTGGCTTCGGCTTTTTAGGAACCAGACAGGAGCTTATCTACTGGACCACGGGTGGCAGATTAAAATGAGAATCCAAAAACGTCCGATTCTCGCAGCCTATCGCAGCATGGCAACCACTACTTTCCGCCCAGCAAACTGTTCAGGAGGGCGCTCTGCCGATTTGGAAGAAGCGCTTTGGCCACAGGCACCGCTGCAGAGTGAAACTTTGCAGCAGGCTGCATGGGCCTCTTCCTGAACTTGCTCATCCATTCTCGGAGGCTGCTGCTACTGCACAGCCAGGTATGGCGCCAAAGTGGACATTTATGCTGCTGGTGTGGTGATCTACATGGCGCTTCTCGGTTCGCCCCTTAGTGCAGCCTGCTTGAGGGGTTCTGTAACTCCTCGAATCCAGATAATCCAGAAAGCCTGGCCTGTCTGCAGTTTAGCGCAGAGCTGGGAGAGTAACTAGTCTTCACAGCAGCTTCGTTCATGGGTTTCGTAGTAACCCTGACGCGAATGGGCCTGTCATGGTCGCGATATCTCCTTGTGACGATGATGAAATGACAGTCAGCAGTGTCTTCAGGTGTTCTCACTGGGATTCACAATCTGACAGGAGCATCTGCGATGTCATAATATGACACTCCCGAATGGCAAGCTGCAAGATCTGCTCGCTTGGGCAGCGAGTTGTCACCAGCTATTGCGGCTTGCAAGCTTCGAGGTCAGCTGCCTTACTATGCGGAGACCTCACTGAAGCTCGCGTCTCAACACATCTCCTGGGCTTGGGCAGTACTTAGAACTCTGCAGGGGCTGTTGGCACTCTACTTGGAGATTGACAGGCAGGAGCCTATAAGTATAATCAAGGATCAGTCGGCACACTGCAGTTGTCGCTTGACTCGATGCGTCCCCTCGCGCCATTGAAGTGCACCTCTTACACATGCCTGCAACAGACTGAGGCTTGCCAGACTTGTTTGCAGCAAGGACTCATATCCCAGCTTCGAGTTCCGGGCCGAGCTTGCATTGGGCTTGCTTTCTCGCCTCAGCTCATTTGTGAAGTCTTCCAGAAGCCAAGCGCAGCTTGCAAAGACACAGAGCAGAGGCGTTCGTTAGCATTAAAAGTGTTCATGCCTACTCCTACCTGGGGCTTTTACCTTTTCCCGGGAGATTCCACGGAGCACAGGTCCAAGGATGGAAGCCATCAGGCCAGTTGGAGATGTTACTCGCATGTGCTGCCATGTGAGTGTGGTTGGTTTTATGCGTCTGTCCATGCCCGGCATTCACGAGATGAAAGCAAGGCTTGGGATTGCAAGAGTATGAAGTTTGGAAACGTCTTATCGTTGAGAAGGGATCGGCGTCGGCGCGTTGTCTGAATGACAAGTCTGACAGGTTTCATCAAGGTGCCGGGAGTTCCTTTCTAGGCTGCTGGAGAAGGACTCCTTGCACAAAGCCAGCTTGCTTGCGCACTCCTTGGCTGAAGTTGGCACTAGCACTAGCGCAATGCAGGATCCAAACAGTCGTTGTACAGCGGCGCAGGTGGAACCCTAAGGCCTAGCATGTGGGGTGAGTACGTGCTCGTGTTTGGAGGCTGCTCGCCATCCGTGGCTCTCCGGACGGGCGAAGAGATCAATCCCACAGCCAATTCCTTTGCAGGCCGTGGATTGTTCAGGAGTCTTGTAACCTGTAAGCTTCTTGTTCGAGTAGCTCAGTGCAGGGGGCCTCCCTTCCCCAAGTGTTCCGGAAGGTGCGGAGCAGTGCGGCTGCAGAGGCAAAGGCCTGCATCTCAGAAAACCCTAAACCCTAAACCCTACATGCTAGAGAAGGTCCAAGAACAGAGTGGAACTATTGATTAAGGCCTCTTTGGAGCAATGCCTCCCAGAGTGCGAGCACAACGTCTCGCCAAAGGCAAGCTGCGGCATGCTCTGGGATTCCAGTGGTGGCTCTCTTCAGAATCTTTCCCATGAAGTGACGCGGAGTGCAACAAACACCAACGAACATCCGATACACTTCTTGCCATCTTCTTCCATGTACTCTCTCCTGCGAGCTCAGAAGGCCCAGAATTGAACGGCATATTAGTCGAAAGGAGTCTAGAGTCTAGGGTAAGTTTAGGGCTCGCATCGTTTTAGATGATACCGAACGCGCACAACCTGGGAAAGCAATCTGTGAAGGGAGTGTACCCACAAAAAGCATACTTCTGAATGCACCATCATTGGTTCGGGCTCCAACCCGAAATGGAGCGTTGTAGCCTCTGGGCACTATGCGGAACTCGCCCTGGAAGTGAAGTTAAGTTGCGGTCGCGTTCTGTCTTGCAAGCCGGATCACCTGCATGGAGCTCCTTCGGAGCGCCAGGAGAAGAACGAGCGCGTCCTGGCACTCGCCAAGGCCATTCGGCGGAGTGCTTCCGTAAGTTATCGTGAGTTCCGACGCGACATCTTCGTAAGTATATTTTTCAATAAATACATACATGCATAGGTAAATAAACGAAAAGTATATATATATATACATATATATATATATATATATATTCGTACACATATGTATACATACACCCACCCACACACACACACACACACTTATTATGTGGTATACAACTATCTACAGTATGTGTATTAAACAGAACATGTGACAGATCAGTCGGTCTGCTTCTCTTGTTATCATTCCGGTTCCCTTCTTGGCCTTGTCCTGGCAACACAGCCTGGTTGGCTGTACGTGCAGAGATCACGCTGTGCTCCCATCATTTGGTTGCGACTCGGGCTTGCAAAGTGAATTGGGTGGCATCTCCTCCTGGCGAACCGAAGATCGCTCTCTGAATCTGGCTCTATCTGTCTGTCTGCTGGGCTAGCTAGCTAGCATCTTGCCGTTTATCCATCGGCCCATCGATCCATCGATATCCATCCATCCATCCATCCATCCATCCATCCATCCATCCATCCATCCAGAGAGCGAGGGAGAGACGGAGAGAGGGAGACACAGGTCGGCATGGACAAAGATAAGTCTACACGTGCATATATGTATATCATGCATGTTATATCATACATGTATATATACGCATAGATACACATACATTTAAGTATAAAGCATGCTATCTGTATGTATGTATGTGTGTATGTATGTATGTATGTATGTATATACATATACGTGTATAAATAATATGTATATATATATATATAGATAGATAATAATTATTATTATTTGTGTTTCTCATGCACATGCATGCATGCATGCATGCATGCATGCATGCATGCATGCATGTAGGAATGAAAGAACGCGTGAACATCATGACCGCCCGAGGGCAGAGAGGTCACAGGTCACCAGGGAAACAAGGAGGTTGCATCGCCGTAAACCGCAGTCTTATAGTATGATATAGTGTTATATGACGCTGCAGTACAATATAGTAGTCTATGATATTTTATGATATTGCAGTTTACAGCAAATAATATAGCAATATAATATATTTTAATTCCCTCGGTGCTCTGGCCAGGCACACCGTGACTGGGCCCAGGCTCGCACACATGTAGTACGGATGCCTTTGAGCGATCTGAATCGACCGCCTTCTGCGTGCAGCTCAGGGTATATGCGGTGCTTGGGGGCATAATATCTTGGTGGCTGGCGCATGCCAGGGGCTGGAGGTGTCAAGTGAGTCGGAATCCGATGAGTCGACCGACACCTGGCCATGCTAAGCTCAGCGAGAAAAGGAGCGCGACGACACGCTCTCTTCCTTTCCTATCCGGGTATAGGGATTAAGGATTACTATCAGGGTGCTTTAAGGTTTAGGGTTTATAAGGACTACTATATGTTGCTGTGGTTCTTAGGATTCAGGTTTTCCAGTGTCCCGAGCTAAATTTAGCTGTCTCAGTCTTGACTCCTGAAAGTCAACTACTTTCTCTTGTCTCAGTGATCCTGTGAAACAGTTTAGCAGCCAGATGGGGGTTCCAGAAACCCTAAATAGTAGGATCCTTATTATAAGGACCCCAAAATAGGGTACCCTAATTTTCGGAAACGCCCAGATCTGGGAGCTTGCGGAACCCGAGACCAGAGGCGGCCCTGCTCGTGGCTGGACTAGGAACAGCTCAAATGGACGTTTTCGGTGCGAATCTGCTGTTTCGGCTCGTCCGCTATCAAGTCATGCCATGCCGATTTAACTACGCTTCTAGCCGGGGCCCTGGCCATTCAAATCACAGCTGCCGCCGAAACTGTCAAACGGCGAATTTGTCTATCCACTGCACGTGTGCGAGATCCCTGTCGAGGTTAGCGCTTTATCTGTTCCGCAGCTGCCTCTAGGTCCGACACACGGGTTGAGTGCGTGTTTGATCTCCCAATACCAGCCGAAATTCCTCAAAGACTACCAGTACTGGGCAGGTTCTGGCTTCTGCGGCAATTCCCTTCAGGCGTGCTTATAGAGCCAGCGGAAGAAAGCATGGTTCACGACGACCGACAGTTCCAGCTTTCCCGTGTGTGAGAGTTTTACCCAGGATGTTTGCCCAATTCTCGGATTCCTTCCACCACTCCATCTCCTCAATTCTTCAGCCGTGAGCTTACGGAGCCGACATAATATCTCTGGCAAGCCACCGAGGTCGCAGTTTTGGGTGTAGGACTTGTGGGCACATTCCGAGTGGTGATTGAATCATGCAGTCATGCTCTCTCTTTAGGGATTCATTGCGGAAAGCCCGGGTTTGGGGTTCGTAAGCATGAGATGTGTTCTGTTACTCTGTTCAGGTCCGTCGGGGTGGAGCTTGCGATCTTCGTTGTCACCCTGTCGGTCGCCTTCATCTTCAGGCCTTACAGCCTTGCAACAGATTGCCCGACCTGTTTCATGATGCCCAGAAGCAATCGCGACAGACAGACGGGCAGACATAGACAGAGAGACAAACTCACCAACCGACTGACACACACGCGCATGCGGCCGCCCGGTTGCATGTGCAGCCTCCCGCTCACCCACCCATCAGCCCAATATGATTTCGAAGGATTCCTCAAACAAGAATTGCCCTTGTCCAGTCAAGTCGGCAAGAAGAACGTCGACGCAAAGAAGCTCAAAGCATCCAGTGATGAGGAGACCGCTGCAAGGGCGATGCTAGCGGGGGATGGGCCCAGCGAGTTCTTGAAAGGAAAGATGCCCATCTTGGTTTTCGTGGAAGCCTGGAGCTCAGTCTTCACCTTTCACTAATCATGGAATCAGAATTACAGCTACTATTTCTATCGTTATCATCATCATCATCATCATCATCATCTTCATTCTCCGAAACTTGGCAAGTTCGTGGTTTTCGGCAGCATAGCTCGCCTTCGCGATCAAACTGCTTCTGCTCGGCATGCGAGGCTGCCCGTGGCAAAGGCAGTTGAGCTGCGGCCCTAAAGCACAATCGCCTGCTGCAGCTCATCCGTCATTTGATTACTAGATGCCCTAGACCCTAAGCCCTAAACCTTCCTCAACCTGTGTAACGGCGTCCTTGCAAGGCCATGCAAACCGCTTCCAGCTCTGGACTCAGTCAGGGCTTTTTGGTTACCTGCCCTCTTGCTTCGTACATACGTAGCTCTCTAAATTAGGGTCCCTATGTAGGGTCAGTTTTATAAGGGTGCCGTACGATATAGGTTACCCAACAAGGGACTCTAATTTGGAGAACTAGCCACATGCCGGCTAGGGCGCGTAGACAGCGGCAGGTACAGAAGAAGCCCCTGTGCAAGCAGGAGCAGGGGCCTCAAAGCAGACCCGGAATTCCTGTTTCCACTTTCTTCTTCGCCCACAACTGAAGGCATCTTCAGGATTTATAGGGTTTAGGGTTTAGGGTTTAGGGGCTTATAGGGTGTTTAGGGTTTAGCCAAAGTCCCCAAAATCAGCTTCAGAGCGAGGCAGCAGTCGAACTCCGCTCGGACCTCCTGCTCTTCCGGCTCTGCGACTGCCTCAGGACCCAGAGACTCCAAAACCCCTTAATTAAGGAATAGACTTTAAATTATAATAGGAGTTTAGGGTATATTCCTTAATTAAGGAATATACCGTACCTTAAATTATAATAGGATCCCTAATATGATTTAAGGTCTATTTCTTAATTAAGGGGTTCTGGAGTCTCTGGGGACCAGGACCCGCCAAGTACCCTCAAATAGGGGGAAAAAGGGTCCCAAATTAAGGGGGTTTAGGGTTTAGGGTTTAGGGTTTAGGGTCCCAAATTAAGGGTGTTTAGGGTCTCATAGAGGATGGAGGGTCTAGGGGAAGTGCGACGTTTCGCCCAGGCCTCGCGCCGACTTGATGAGATCGCCACCTTTGCGCGAGATCAGCCAGAAAGCTCAGCACTCGCAGCACATCGCCGCACTTCTTTTCTGCAGCAGCCTTTCGCGCAAAACTCGCAGGCATGCAAGCCGAAACGTCGGCCAGGCCTCGACGCGCTGGCCACGCTGACAAAACTGATCCGGGGCCAGCGCTTGAAACGGAGGCAGGAAAAAGGATGGTGCTGCAGGTGATCCAGATGTATGACGACTTCTTATCCAGTCTTGCCGAGAAGCACATGCAGATCCCCGAGGCCGATCCCTTCTCAGCGAAGAATCACCCAACCAGAATTTCCCCTCTCCCTTCCAGGTCGCGAGTAGCGCACGACACAGTGCAGTCGAGTTCTTCGCAGCTCTGGCACCTGCCTCAAGTTCATGGTTCAGGGTCTAGCTTCCTCCCAAACTTGTAGTGCTCCGCACCAAAGTGCCAGCTGCCGTGGTGGAGCTTCAATGTATGACTGAGCATGTCTTGTCGGAGTGCTTTCCTTGACAAGCCGTCCGCTTCGTTCGGCAAACTTCCTCTCCCCATCTGCTTCCTCTTGGTGCTTTCGGGCTTTCCTGCAGGTCTACTGCGTGGTTCGAGCTGGCCGCTTCAACTTGGTGGAGAGGTTGCTGGATGACATGGTCGCACAGGCACAGAACACCCTAAACCCCCTAAACACTAAACC